TAGTAGTTAGTCTCCCAAATTTCTTCACCCCAATTCCATCATTGACTTTTTGCAGAAACAAGACAGTTTGTCCTGTAGTGTCCCACACTCTGTATTTGTCTGTTTGTCTCCTTGTGATGTCATCTGACTTGTTCCTCTGTCCCCTATATTGCCTGTAAATGGAAGTGGCTCTAAAGACTTAATCAGATCCAGCACAATTGTTTCTGCAAGATCATGTCATAAGTGAGGCTGTGTGCTTCCTGTTGGACCACAGCACAGGTTCTCAAGATCTGTTTGTCCCACTTTTAGTGACACTAAGATTGATCGGTGAGTTCAGATAGTAACACCCTAATCTTTCCATTTAAAAATTCCCCATCAATCTTTTATCTGAGTTTTCATTCATTGATAATCTTTTCCTGAATGATTTATTTGATTAGGGGATATAAAGGGTGATTTTTCTAATTCTATTATTATTTCCACATTTATTAGTTGGCTTGATTCTATAAAATAATGATTTTCCTTAATTAACTAGGGTTATTTGGTTACCTTAAAATACAGTTTGTACAGGAAATGTGGGACAAGTGCTCGATTTCTTATTTGATTATGTGACTGCCAGTATACAGAGTACAGACTTGGTACCCTAGTTATTTTCAATGATGCAAATGCAGTGAAGTGATTTTTTTTTAATTGACTTTTTTCTCTTTTTCATTTTTCTTTTGCTTTGTAGGGGTATCATTATAACCTCATGGGTTTATATCGTTAAATCCTCCCTTTTTTTGTTAAAAATTTTAATTATAAAATTTGCATGTGGGCTGGCCAGTTATGGCCAGTTAGATCAGTTGGTTAGAGTGTGGTGGTGTTATAACACCAAGGTCAAAGGTTCAGATCTCCATACAGGCCAGCTGCCAAAAAAAAAAAAATTGCATAAATACAAAAATGCATATAACATAAATTTGCAAAATAACAATTATGAAGTGCATATCCAGATTTTATACCCTTTGCCTCCTTTTTCTTTTCTTTTCTTTTTAAAAAAATTTTTTTTTAAAAGATGACCGGTAAGGGGATCTTAACCCTTGATTTGGTGTTGTCAGCACCATGCTCACCCAGTGAGCTAACTGGTCATCCCTATATGGGATCCGAACCCATGGCCTTGGTATTATCAGCACCACACTCTTCTGAGTGAGCCACGGGCTGGCCCTGCCTCCCTTTTCCCTATCAAAATCAACTCTCAGGAAATTCTCTGAACTTCAATTTAATTTAAAATCAAAGTTTCCTCTCAGAGGTTTTTATGAATAAGATTTACTTCTTTTATGGAATTGTAGCAGCCATATTAAGGATGTCAAGAATAATTCCTTTTTCTGATTTGAAAAACCAGGTGTATGCTGCTCCATTTACTGAGCAAGAGAACCTTGCAGGAAGTGTATGTTTGTGGAGAAGATAACTAGTTCAATTTGAGATATCTGTGAGAAGCCAAGCCAGAGACTGGAAGTTTACTACATGGTCAGGAGCTAAGAAGAGATATCAAGAAGGCATCAGCATATAGAAAGATTTTGAAACCTTGGGAATGGATGCACTTACCATCCACTAAGAATGGATTGAGATCACATAAAATAAAATGAGGAAAAGATCTAGGACTGAACCTTCAATAACTCCAACATTTGAAGATTAGGAAAAGGAGGAGGAACCAGCTGCAACTAACTAGAACAAAAAAATGTAGGAGGGAAACCTACAAAATATAGAGTTTTTGAGGTCATGGGAAGAAAGTGTCTCAAGAAAGAGATAACAGTCAACTGTGACAAAGTCTATCACAGGTCAACAAGAACTAAAAAGTATCCAGGGAATTTAGCAAAAAACACGGAGGACCTTAGTTTCAAGGAGTGGTATAAGCAGAATCCAGATTGGAATGGACTGAGGGATTAATGGGAGGTGAAGAAGTATGAAAAAGAGTGTAGGGCCGACCCCATGGTGCACTCGGGAGAGTGCGGCGCTGGGAGCGCAGCAACGCTCCCGCCGTGGGTTCGGATCCTATATAGGAATGGCCGGTGTGCTCACTGGCTGAGCACAGTGCAGGCGACACCACACCAAGGGTTGCGATCCCCTTACCAGTCACGAAAAAGACAAAAAAAAAAAAAAAAAGTGTAGACAACTCTCTTGCTTCCTATATGAGTTATGATGGATTCAATAAGGTCTCTCTCTATACACTCACAAACACATGCAATTCTCAAACCTATATAAATGTACAAGCCTTACTTCTTCAATTAGATTGCAAGATTCTATAGAAGAGACCATGCTTCTACCTCTGAATTTCCCACTATCTAGGATGGTCTGGGGCTCACTATAGACACTCTGTAAATGTTTTTGATTATAAATGGTAAAATACTCTTAAATACCTTGTAATTACTAACCATGATAATAGTTAATGAAAATATGCACAGAGAGCTGTTATTTAATTTGGCAAACACATATATGTCTCCTGCATGTTAAGCACTTTGACAGGAACCAGGACTCACATTTTGATGCAAGAACAGTATAGTCATGCAAATAAATAATGAAAATGTCACAAATATTATGAAAGAAAAATGCCTTATGCTTTTTGCCCACAAGAATGAATCCATTAGCAGAATACTTTAACATACATATTTCTGTAAGTTAAAGAAATTGGCAGTAAAAATAAAAAGAGAACTAGTAAAAAAAGATTTTTTTTTTTTTTGCTTTCGATAGTTTAAATGCTATTAAATCAGATAGTAAGGAACAACACAACCAGATTGGTTATTTATCCTGATCTCCCATTTATATATTTAAGATTACCAGTGCTCAAATAGTCTATTTCTGACCTAGATCTTATGGTTACTTATGCCCAAGAATAGAAAAAACCCTCATTTACATAAGGAACAGAATGGCTCTGAGAGAGAATTACAAAGAATCAATTGCATGAACCTTCGTCTCTTTTGTTTAATACTCTGTAAATTCCATAAAAAACTGAGACTATTGGGGAAATGACATATTCCTTAATTAGTCTTTTTATATTATAAATAAAATAAAATTCAAAACTGTGCCTCTTATTCCATAAAGAAGACTTACATACTTTACCATAGTCCAGCAGTATCTGATTTATTTCATTATTAAAATTGTGAAAGAAGCATTTTTAATAAGTTACTTATTCATTCTTATGCTCCCTTATGTCATTTAATTCTTATTTTTGTTAAATGTACTTCTGGGTCCAGAAAGAAGCATTCAAATCATCCTTAACCGTCCTGTCTCTTTACTGAAATATACTTTTATTTGCTAAAGGGATGGAGATAAGATGATGCTGAGGATTATTTTTCCTATGAAATACGCAAGAAGTAGATAAAATGATTTGTGTGTTCGGTTTTATTTTTTTCTAGAGAAGACTACTGCAGCAAATTTGAACAAGCAAAGCAGAGATGTGGATTGCAGGCTAGAAAAAATCGATGGCCACCATTGCCACACCACAACCTGCAGCAGCTGTCTTCTCAAGTCCCTCCCTCTCACGCCCTGCTCTGCCTGCCAGCCCAGCAAGAATGAATGGGCTCTGCAGAACACTGTTAGTGCTACAGACCCTGAAAATCTATGGCTGAAAATCAAAAAGAAAAATTATCTGTCAAAATACAAATTTTCACCTTTAATGGCCAAACAAACCTCTGTACCTCTGAAATTTCATCAGCAATGTCAAGTGGTACACAGTCCAGAGACTTATTCTGCATAGCCCATCCTTGCTGATAGTGGAGCCTTTCTAAATGGAAAATGAATGTTACTGCAATCCATTTTCTAGTGGTGAAAGCAAAGCCTTTTTGTCCCAAGGGGCAACTGAGCAACCATTAGAGTCTGTAGCTGAATAGCAACGGTGTAAGGCGGCTACAATTCCCACAGTTAGAAGACCAACCGCAAAGTAGGCTATTCACTGGAATTCACATAACTACATAAAAACAAAATGTAGTTATTGAACTGCCACTGCACAGTTGTCTGTGGATGGAAGCAACATTACAAAATTATCTTGTTTTTACATCATGTAACTCTCCTTTTTGATTTGGTGTCTTGGCTTTTTAAAAATTTTTTATTTTATTTTTTTGCTTTTTTAAAATTTATTTTTACTTTCCAGAGAAGAGAACAAGGCAGAAATATAACTGCACACACAAACAGTACTAGCTTCTGAACTCAATTCTTTCTCCTTGTATTTTTCCAATTCTTTATCAAGAAAGCTAATTTATTTCTAGGGACAATACACTACACAAAATATATTACACAGACTTCTGTCAAAGGAAAATCTCTAGTAAACTAACTACGGTATGTTCATTAGCTCTTAATTATTGCCGTGTTAGAACTACCTACTTGTGTGCTTCTTTATTTATGGTTATTCCTGCCATCTTCCATTTTTGTTTAGCTATTTGGGGTGTGTGTGTGCAAAAGAAAGTCTGAAAATAAGTTATTTGAACCTGAGAAACCATTTTGAATGGCTCTATTACTGACTATTTTTTAAATAATAAAAAAAATCTCATTTACCCAAGCCATTTCGAGCATTACTCCCGTCTTCTCTCCAACTTTATTTTTAAGGCAGTTAGAGATGTTGAATTGTAAACGAATTTAGTCAAGTTCAGTATACTATGAGGGAGGGGCTGGGAGCAATTTTCCATTAAATATTTCATCTCAACACAAATTCTGCGATTAAGTGTAGGAAAAAACCTTATATAGGTGATTTTAACTGTAGTTTGAGGTTTAAGCATTATAAAATCATCCAACCTCAGTCCTCTTTCTTCCCTTCCCTCCCCTCCAGCCCCACCCCATAATGGATGCTCCGCTGGCTGCTTTTACACGGTCTCTTTGTCTGAAGGATGCAAACAGTCTATGGATGCTAGGGGGAAAGGGGTGGGGGAGAGATTACCTCATCCCATGTTGCTTGCACCAATCACCGCTCTCTGTCGTGGCTTCTCTGGGCAGACTGGGGGGTCTGAGCCAACAGGAAAAGGCCCTGGCCCATCCCCATGGTGACCGAGGTGTATATAGGAGCCGCATCCGCCCATGTGCCGCAGGTTCTCTTACATCGACCTCCTAAGAGTCGCGCTGTAAGAAGCAACAACCTCTCCTCTTCGTCTCCGCCATCCGCTCTGCAGCCGCGAAGCAGCAGCCATGGTAAGAATCTGTTTTCTCCAGCTCTTTGTGGCTGTTGGGTGGAGTCAGTCTCCCAGGGTCTGCTCGGAAAACCTTAAACTCTTTTCTTTTGTTACCTCTTTGGGTAAGGATAGTCTTGTGCTTTGTTTGAGAGGTTTAGCTTTGTCTGCCCTAAATCCTTAAGTCCCGCCGCAGCCGCAGCGCGGGGTGCGGTAACCGAACCAGAACTGCGCCCCGGAAGCAGGACAGCGATGGGGAAGAACAAAGACGGCTCAAGGGAGCTTTTGTTATCCGAGAGCCCTTCGGGACCGCAGGCAGCCCATCTGTCGAGGTGGAAGGGTCTCCCACTCGGCCCTGCTGTAGGTGCGCACGGTGTTCGTGTGACGCGGAGAGGCCTTTTCCTCAATCTCCTTGTTCCACAGGGGCAGGGAGAGGAGGAGTCGTCTAAAAAGACCGGGGTGCGGTGGGGGGTTGGAGGGAAGGACAGGAACCAAGCGGAGCCTTGGATTAGTATAAGAAGATTCCTCGCTGGTTCGTTGGCATTTTAGGAAGATACCCGTATATTAACGGGAAAAAATGGTTAGTTTCTGTTGGAGCCCTTGGCAGCCAGTGTTAGGGCGGCTCAGGGGCGGAGTTGTTTGTTTCTCGCTTCTCCGGCCTTAAGAGCCACTGGGTGGGGCTCGCCCTCACTAAACCTCCTCTGTCAGAAGACTTCTAATAAAATCTTCATCATTGCGGAACTATAGGCTTCAAAAGGTTTTTATTCACTGTGGAAGCTTAGATGAAATATTTTTTTCTTGAGCAGCAAGATCACAGTTCACTTGACAAGCTCTTTAATGTCTGGTCTGGGGACGCACCGCCCTGACCCGCTCGACTGTGTGTCTGTCTTCGCCGCACAGTCACCGAGGGAGAAAGACCACTTTGTGAGCCCCGGGGTACCCTAATGGTCAGGACCCAGGGAAACGCCCTTCCCCGATTCTCACCCCCCATACGTCAGTGAATAGACAATGAAAGTCGTAACCTTAAAGACCGTAGAGTAGAAAATCTCTATCGGATGAGAAGAGTACGAATATTAAGTGGTGAGTAGAAAATCTCAAAATGAAAATACTATTTTATTGTTCTAAGTAAATATTCATTGTCCTTTGACTGGGTTTTTATTCTTTGGTAGCTTCTCTTGTGATATTTGTTTCTAACTTAGGGACTATTGTTTTAAAAATTAATATTTTTTCAGTTTTTTACAGTGGAGAAAATCTTGGAAAAACTTTTTTTAAAAAAAGTAATGAAATTGGTGCAGACAAAGACTAATTATACTCTGCATCCAGCTATCTTTTGTTCTAGTGCGTCTTCATTAATTCATTTCAATTGAGGCCCATGGTCCGAGGCTGGGTCAGAGAAGGAAAACTGGCAAAACAGCACAATGAGATCATGTAGGCAGTTGCTGGAAATAGAGCTTACTCTGTTAAATAATATAGCAGACAGTACAGGCTAGCACCAGGCATAGCAAATAGAGCAATGCAGCAATGTATGAGGCAGACCTTGTCTAGTTTCTATTTCCCTATTACTGATGGATTTTGCAGATAGACTGCAAAAGGGTGTGGCTTCTAGGCTCAGGTGCAGTACAGATGTCCATGTTGAAATACCAAGTCTTATTTAGAAGAAATCTTCATCTTTATTTAAAAGGGAAGCAGTGAAATTACAATACATTACTGATTGAATTTAATATACTTCATTTTACAAAATTTGTACTTTGAATATTTTTTAAATATGAAAAATCTTATATTCAAGCAAGGCTGTAGGAACAATGAATGGGCTTGTACCATGTGCTAAAGTGTGCCAAGGTGAAATTATTATTCAGACCACACCCATCTGCCGCATTTGTAGCAGATGCTTTTCCTTGATCATTTCTATCATGTTAAGGATTAAAGAATAGCTGTATATTACTAGGAATATTTTTAGAAATTTACTGAAAATTCAAAATATTAATACACCTTAATTTTATTATTTTTTCTCTTTCCCTTCCCATAGCGTGAGTGCATCTCCATCCACGTTGGCCAGGCTGGTGTCCAGATTGGCAATGCCTGCTGGGAACTCTACTGCTTGGAACATGGCATCCAGCCTGATGGCCAGATGCCAAGTGACAAGACCATTGGGGGGGGAGATGACTCCTTCAACACCTTCTTCAGTGAGACAGGCGCTGGCAAGCATGTGCCCAGGGCAGTGTTTGTAGACCTGGAACCCACAGTCATTGGTAAGTTGACCTCAGTAATCCAAGTGAGATCCCAGCGTACTGAGACTGGAGGTCTGTCCTGGGGGTTCCACTGATTACTTACACATATACACACACGCACACACCACACACTCCACACACTCTCTCTTTCTACTCTACCCACCCCCACCAGGACTGATCAGGCTTGTGTAGGTCGTTAGTGATGGGTGGCTGGTTTGGTTTCCTTTTCCAGATGAAGTTCGCACTGGCACATACCGCCAGCTCTTCCACCCAGAGCAGCTCATCAC